GATGGGTCGGGAGTTCTGGGGGGGGCTGTCAGGGGGTGGGGAGTGGTTGGATGGGGCGTGGGAGTCCCAGGGGTCTGTCTGGGGGTGGGGGTGTGGATAAGGGTTGGAGCAGTCAGGGTACAGGTAGGGGGTAGGGTCCTAGGGGGCCAGTTAGGATGGGGGGAGGGTCTCAGGAGGGGGCAGTCAGGGGACAAGAGGCAGGGAGGCTTAGGTAGGGGGTGGAGTCCTGGGGGGCAGTTAGGGGCAGGGGTCCCAGGAGGGGGCAGTCAGGGGACAAGGAACGGGGGGAGGGTTGGGGGTTCTGAAGGGGGCGGGAAGTGGGAGGGGCAGGGGCGGGGCTAGGGCGGGGCTCCTCCCGTCCTCTTTTTTGCTTGCTGAAATATGGTAACCCTAAGCTATTAACTATATATTGATAGATAAAATCTTAGGTGCGTATCTAGCCTCCATCAGCGTAATATCTTTAATGCATTTATCCTCACAACCCCCCGGTGAGGGAGGGCAGTGCTCTTATCCCCAGGGTACAGCTCCTGTCCCTCAGAGAAAGAACAACAGCGTAGAAAATTACAGAGAAACTCCTTGCTGAGGGGATCTGAGGTGACAGAAGAGACAGAGCAGTGTTAACCCAGATGGCAACTTTGCACAGAAGTTTTGGTATCTCTCTGGGAAAGCCCAAGTTGGTTCTTTGGGATGGCAAGTCCTCTTTTCCTGGCCCCATCACAGTCCCGTTCTGAGGACGTGGATGAGACTGGCCAAGATCCCTGTGGCCATCACCAGGTAGCTGGTTTTCACACTGCTGGCCCCGCTGATGTTGCATAAGGAATTCTCACAGCAGGAGGTAGAAATGGCGGCTACGCCGAGGTTCAGGTTTGTTTGGGGACACACCGGAGAGCATTTCTTGGTGATGCGGTGCCCCTTTTTATCGCCTGAAGGGGGAAAGAAAAAACAGAGAAGAGATTTGTTATCAAAGAGCCCCCCAGGGTTCCAGCAGCCCTCTCTGTAGAGGAGAGAATGGTCTTAAAGTAGCTAAGCAACAAGGGCCAATGGAGACGGCATGATTGGTAGTTTTGCCTCAGGTTTTTAACCCAGCCAGTGTTTATCTGCTATTCCGTGCCCTGGGGACACTCAGCACAGCAATCACCCGTCTCTTGCTAGTATTCACAGACCCGCCTGGGAACATCCTCTCCAGAGCCCTGACTATGGCTGCGGAACAGCCAAAAGAAAGACCATCCCCAAGGCAGAGACCTCTTCCCAGGATTCAAACTGAGTGCATTGCATGCTGGGGAACAGGGGTTTGAAGCCTGTTGTGTGGACACCGGGGCAGTGCAAAGCTGGTCAGTCGAGCTGACCAGTCATGTGCCTCACTACCGTAGGTCTGAAGTGTGGCTGAGACAAGGCACAGCACCTGTAGCAGTACAAAGAGCAAGGATTAGGGATAGCTCAGTGGTTTGAGCATTGGCCTGCTAAACTCAGGGTTATGAGTTCAATCCTTGAGGGGACCATTTAGGGATATGGGGCAAAAATCTGCTGGATGATTTAATTGGGGATTGGTCCTGCTTTGAGCAGGGGGTTGGACTAGATGATCTCCTAAGGTCCTTTCCAATCCTGATATTCTATTCTATGATTTGTTGGCAAAGTCCCAGTAGGATTAAAGGGACACCACCCCCAAGGCTTTTGTGCATGCACCCCACAGACACTTCTTTTTCTTGAGCACCAAGATGAGGGGATGGGATTTGTGCCTGTAAATCCTGTTCTCCAAATGAGTCCCTCCCCGGAGTGCACAAATGTGACAAAGTGGGAATGTTCTTAATGTTTTCTCTGAATACTGTGTGGGTGCCTCAGTTTCCCCTATGCATTTCTTAAGTATCTATGTGGTGGGATAAGAGTGTGCGATTGTTGCAAAGCCTTAGAGGGCCAGTGTGATGCTGTCTGCACAGAGAATGGCCGACACCCTGTCTCCTATCAACTAATGGCCTGGGCCCCTCCCCTGCAAAGGTGCCAACTGAAGGTGTTGGAGAACAAAGGGATCAGGTGACCTCCTGGCCCGGGAAAGAGACAAAGGCCAGAGGAGGGGCTGGAGAGTTTCAGTTTGGAACTGGCTGGGGAAACAGAGGGAGCCCCAGGGCTGGGGGTCTAAGCTCTCTGCCCCCCAAGATGGACCTGACTGAGGGGATCCTGTTCTCCGTACCTACAAGCTCTGTTTTGGACTGTGTTCCTGTCGTCTAGCAAACCTTCTGTTTTACTGGCTGAGAGTCATGATGAATCTCAGGAAGTGCGGGGTGCAGGGCCCTGACTCCCCCACACTCCGTGACAACATAAGTGAGGAATTAGCCTCTTGGATTGTTTGCAGTTTCCTAAGGCCCAGCGCTTTGCTCTCCATGTGCTATGCTCAGCACTCCCGAGTGATTATTCGTCCTTTCAGAAGGAGGATGAAAGAATCCAACTGGCTGGCATGGGGGTGAGACTGAGTGACCTCCTGCATCCTAAATAAATGGATACCTGTCACTCAGACACCATGGCGAGCAGGGGCTTAGGAAAACCTCGCTGAGATAATTGCGGGGACTCACCAATCCCTCCAGACGCATATATTGTGAGGCAGTATTTGTCAGTGTCGGCACACTTAGTCCCTTTCAGACAATTCCAGTTGGAGGGCTCGTCGTTACAGGTGTAGCACCAGAAGGAGGCCGCTGAAAAAGGAGGACACAACCCAGCTTAGCCGCTTGTGGAAACGTCCTCTTCAGAGGAGAGGATCCAAAATGTTTCCATTTTTGGAAAAGGGAAAGAGAAAAGGGGCGGGGGGAGAGGGACCAAAACAGAGCAAACATTTTCTACTTGAAATTAAATGCCACAGAAATTTTAGTTGTAATTTGTCTGGACAGAGAATTCTAGGAACAATTTCAACCAGAAGGAAAATTTGCTAATATATGCAGCAATTACTTCCCATGTTTCGACCAGCCCTGGCTTCTCCCATCTACTTCCTTGACTCACACAAGCCAATGATCTAACTCTGCATCTCAGTGTCACGCTGAGCAGGACTCTGACCCATCTCTGCCTCCATCCCACAACCATCTCTCTTTCTCTGCCAGGAATGAGTCATGCCTGACCTCCCAAGTGCAGCTCCCAAGTCTGCCGAAAGCAGAGCTCAGCGAGGCCCTTATTTCCCAGCTCCCTGCCGGTTATTAATTGTCTTTCCTTG